ACCTTTCCATAAGAATATGAATAATAGATTCCACACGTTTAGTGGTTTAACTCTGTGTCCTTTTTGGTACTAAGCACTTTACGTAATTTTCTCTTATCACTCTTTCAACCATCCAGGACTTCCATTTTGCAGATGAAGAAAGTGAGGCTAAGAGATAGGGATGTAGCTCAAGGTCACACAGTTAGTGACTTTAGAGGTCACACTTGATCCCCAATCATAGGTGGCCTGACACTAAAGCCATATTCTTAATCACTGGATGGACACTATAAATTGGTGGTATTAGGAGAAACTGGGAGATTCTTGATTTCTAGGCATGTATTTTGTTAATGGTTAACATAAGTTATGGTCTGTTTGAAGCTTCCTGCAATGTGGCTCAGTGGAAAGACCAATACAGTAGGGGGTGGAAGATTTGGGATCTGATCCCAGCTCAGACAACACTTAGAAATGCAAGTATGAATTAGTGCCAAATCTGACTTTTGGGGAAAAAATTGACTCTCTCTGAGTCTTAGTTTCTTCTTCTGTAAAGTGGGGCCAATATTATGTACTCTCCAGGTCTCAGATTTTGCTGTGGGGATCCAGTGAGGTAATGGTCTTACATTGAAAATACAAAATGTTCTATGCACATTAGATGACATGACTTAGAATTGTTGGGTCCCTATATAGATTTTTTTAATATCTATCTTACAATTTCTTTATCCTTTCATCCATTGATGGACAGTTAGGTTGTTTTTGTGTCTTGGCTATTGTAAATAATGGTGCAATGAACCTGTGGGTGCAAATACCTTTTTAAGTTAGTGTTTTCATTTTTTTCAGATAAATGCCCCAAAGTGGAATAGTTCTGTTTTTAATTTTTTGAGGAACTCTGTAGTGTTTTCCATAGTGGCTGCACCAGTTTACATTCTCACCAGCAGTGTGTGGGGTTTCCTTTTCTCTACATCCTTGCCAATACTTGTTATGTCTTATCTTTTTGATAATAGCCAGCCTAACAGGTGTAAGGTAATATCTCATTGTAGTTTTGATTTGCATTTCCCTGATGATGAGTGATGTTGAGCATCTTTTCATGTGTCTGTTGGCCACCTATATGTCTTCTTTGGAAAAAGGTCTCTGGGAAAATCTTCTACCCATTTTTTAATTGGATTGTTTGTTTTTATGTTATTTAGTTGTAGTTCTTTATATATTTTGGATATTAGCCTCTATCAAATACGTGTTTGCAAGTACTCTCTCCCATTCAGCAGGTTGCTTTTTCATTCTGTTGATGGTTTCCTTGCTGTGCACAAGCTTTTTAGTCTGATGTAGTCCCACTCAACTTATTTCTGCTTTTGTTGCTTTTGCTTTTGGTGTGATATTAAAACAAAACAAAACTCATTGCCAAGACCTGTGTCAAAGGGTTTACCACCTGTGTTTCCTTCTGGGGATTTTATGGTTTCAGGTCTTAGGTTCATTAAGTCTTTAATCCATTTTGAGTTAATTTTTGTACATGATGTAAGATAATGGTCCAGTTTCATTCTTTTCCATGCAGTTTTCTAGTTTTCTCAAAACCATTTATTGAAGAGACTATGCTTTCTTCATTATCTCTTTTTGGCTGCTTTGTTATAAATTAATTGATCATATATGGCTGGGTTTGTTTCTGGGCTCTCTATTTTGTTTCACTGATGCATCTATTTTTATGCCAGTACCACACTGTTTTACTCACTATAGCTTTGTGATATGGTTTGAAATCAGGAAGTATGATGCCTCCAGCTTTGTTCTTTTTTCTCCAGATTGCTTTGACTATTTGCTTTTTGTGGGGTGTGTGTGTGTGTGTGTGTGTGTGTGTGTGTGTTTGTTCTTGGTGGTCGCATACAAATGATAGGATTGAAAAATGCCATTGGGGGGCGCCTGGGTGGCTTGGTCGGTTGGGCGTCTGACTTCAGCTCTGGTCGCGATCTCACGGCTCATGAGTTCGAGCCCCACGTCGGGCTCTGCGCTGACAGCTCGGAGCCCGGAGCCTTCTTCGGATTCTGTGTCTCCGTCTCTCTCTCTCCCCTCCTCTGCTCATGCTCTGCCTCTCTCTGTCTCAAAAATAAATAAACATTAAAAAAAATTTTAAAAAAAGAAAAAAAAAGAAAAATGCCATTGGAATTTCAATTGGAATTGTAATAAATCTGTAACTTGCTTTGGATAATGTGGACATTTTAACAATTGATTCTTCCAATCCATGGGTCCAGAATATCTTTCCATTTATTTGTGTTCCCTCTGGTTTTTCATTAATGGTTTGTAGGTTTTAATATAAGATTACTCGCCTTAGTTAAATTGGTTCCTAGGTATTTTATTCTTCTGATGCAATTGTAAATGGAATTGTTTTCTTTATTTTTCTAATAATTTTTTATTAGTGTGTAGAAATGCAGCAGATTTTTGTGTATTGATTTTTATATCCTGCAACTTTACTGAATTTGTTTTTTAGTGCTAATGGTTTTTTGATGGGGACTTTAGAGTTTTCTGTATATAATATCGTGTCATCTGCAAATAGTGACAGTTTTGTTCCTCCTTTACAATTTGAATGCCTTTAATTTCTTTTTCTGGCCTAGTTGCTCTGGCTAGGATTTTCAATAACTATGTTGAATAGAAGTGGCAAGAGTGGACATTCTCCTCTTGTTCCTGATCTCAGAGGAAAGGCTTTCAGCTTTTCATTGTTGAGTATGATGTTGGCTGTGGGCTTGCCATATATGGCTTTTATTATGTTGAGATACATTCCTTCTATACCTACTTTATTGAGATATTTTTATTATAAATAGATTCTGAACTTTGTCAGGTGTTTTTTCTGTCTATTGAGATGAAAATATGATTTTTATTCTTCATTCTGTTAATGTGGTATATCATATCAGCTGATTTGCAGATGTTGAATTGTCCTTACATCGCTGAAGTGATTCTACCTGATCATGGTGTGTGGTCTTTTTGATATACTGTTGAATTTCGTTTGTTAATATTTGTCGAGGATTTTTGCATATGTGTTCATCAGGGATATTAGCCTGTAATTTTCTTTTCTAGTGGCATCCTTGTTTGATTTTGGTATCAGGGTAATGCTGGGCCCATGAGTTTGGAAGAGTTGCCTCCTCTTCTATAGTTTGTAAGAGTTGGAGAAAGATTGGTATTAATTTTTCTTTTAATGGTTGGTAGAATTCACTAGTGAAGCTAGCTGGTCCTGGACTTTTCTTTTTTGGAAGTTTTAAATTACTGGTTCAATCTCCTAACTAGTATTGATCTCTTTAGATTTTTCTATTTTATCATGATTCAGTCTTGGTAGGTTTGTAATGTGTTTATGTAATATGTAATATGTTTCTTGAATTTATTCATTTCTTCTAGGATGTCCCATTTATTACTATAATTGTTCATAGTAGTCTTTTATGATCTTTTGTATTTCTGTGGTGTCAGTTGTTGATGTCTTCTCTTTTGTTTCTGATTTTGTTTGAGTTGTCATTTTACTTGGTGAGTTTAGCTAAAGGTTTGTCAGTTTATCTTTACAAAGAAACAGCTATTAGTGACATTGATGTTTTCTATTGTCTTTTTAGTCTCTATTTCATTTATCTCTGCTCTAATCTTTGTTATTTTCTTCCCGTATGGATGGTGTTCTCCTGTGCCTTAGATCTTAGCAGAGTTACAGAGTGAAAGCTTTGTTTCTTTCTCTCAGAGAGGTGTAGTCCTGGTGGGGAACACTGAATGTGCATGTGGGGGTTAGTCATGGAAGAATGCTATGGGAATTTAGGGCAGGGGAAGTTCACTCTGCCCAGGGAAGACTTTATGAAGTGCATGGCATAGTGAATTAATTAGATTTTAAAGGATGTGGTATTCAAATGGAGCAAGAATTGTTCACTTTGTGGAAACTTACCTTTGCTTTTAAAAGGAAACTCAGCTAAGTACCTAGGGTCACCATATGCCTTCTAAAAAATACTTATGGACTGTCTTGAAATGTGGAACTGGAGAGTATTTCTCTGCTGTTCAGAGGGTTGAGGGGCGCCTGGGTGGCTCAGTCGGTTGAGCGTCCGACTTCGGCTCAGGTCATGATCTCGCAGTTCATGAGTTTGAGCCCTGCATCGGGCTCTGTGCTGACAGCTTCAGATTCAGTGTCTCCCTCTCTCTCTGCCCCTTCCCCGCTCATGCTCTGCCTCTC